CTTTAAACAATCAATTATCTTGTAAAGAGACTTACCTAGTAAAAAAATTTCTATTTACCCACATAGTTATTATTTCCAATGTTCTTCATTTCTTTGTGGAGATCCACATTTGCATCCAGTGTCATTTTTCCTTTTCCTTCCTGTAAGATTCCTTTAAATAGAACTTCCTTTGTTTTTGTGCTGTAGGTCTGTTGCTTATGAATTCTTTCAGGTTTATCATGTCTGAGAAACTGTTTTACCTTCATTTTTTAATCTTTTCCCTAGATAAAAAATTCCAAGTTACTTGAAAAATATTGCTCCGCTGTCTTTTACCTTGAATTATTTTCAGTGAGAAATCTACCGTTGTTCTTTAGTGTATGTGTCTTTCTTTCCTCTGTCTGATTTTAATTGTTCCTTTTTATCACTGGTTTTTAGCAACTTGGTTATGATATGCCTTGGTATAATTTGCTTTATGTTTTTTGTATTTTGGGTTTGTTGAGCTTTTTGGGTGTTTAGGTTTACAGTTTTAATCAAATTTGGAAAATTTTCAACCATTTTTTCCTCAAAAACATTTTTTGTCTCCTCGCCTTACTCTCTGAGATTTGAATTATATGTATATATTGGTGTGGTTGAAGTTATTCCATATCTCACTGATGCTCTGTTCATTTTTTCCCATCTTTTTTTCTATCTCTATTCATTTTGTACAGTTTATAATGCTCTGTCTTCAAATTCATTGATATTTTCTTCTGCAGTGTCTAAAATGTCTAATCTGTTGTTAATCCTAGATCAACTTGGTGTTGTTAATAATTCAGTGTATTTCTCAACACAAAGTAGTTTCCATGTTTACAAGTTTGATTTGGGAATTTTTTTGTATCTTCCATGTCTCTACTTGACACCTTGAATGTTTCCTCTAGCTTCTTGAACATATGGAATGTGGCTGTAAAACTATTTTATTTTAATATCCTTGTCTGCTAGTTCTATCGTCTTTTTTTTTTTTCTTTGAGGTAATTTCAATTGATTGATTTTCTACTCATTATTTTTATATTTTTTCCTGCTTCTTTGATTCCTGGCAACTTTTGATTGGCATTCAGACATAACTTTTACCTTGTCGAGTGCTGGATATTTTTATATTCCTGTAAATATTTTGAGTTTTGTTCTAGGATGCAGTTAAGTTTCTTGGAAAAGGTTTGTTCCCTTAACATCTTGCTTTGGGTCAGAGCAGCACTTAACCTTGTGTTAATTTTGTCCCACTATTGAGGCAAAACCCTTCTTAGTACTCTACAGTGTGATTTTGAATTAATGAGATTTTCTTCTCTGGCTGATGGGAATAAGCAGACTATAGTTCCCATGTGAGCCTCAGGGATTGTTCTTTCCCTAGCCTCAAGTAGTTTCCTTATACTCAGGCACTGAACAGTAAGTACTCTGTTAAGTGCTAGAGAGTGGCCTTCTGCAGATCTCTGGAGTTTTCTATCTCTGTAGCTCTCTCTTCTCCAGTACTTTGTCCTGTAAACTCCACCTGCTTTGACCTTCCTGGATTTCCTCTTCTCAGAGAAGCTTTGCCTACCTTCCCCATCCGTGTGCCACAGCCTAGGAACTCTATTTGGGTGGTAATCTGGGATAACACAGGCCTCATCTTATTTGGTTTCCATCTCTCAGGGATTACTGTCTTCTGTTGCGTGATGTCCAATGTTTTGAGGATCATTGTTTCATGTATTTTATAGTTGTTTCAGACAGGAGGCTAAATCTGGTCACTTTTACTCCATCTTGACACTAGATGTGGAAGTTCTCCAGACAGTTCAACATAATGTAACATTTGGATTTCTGCAGGAGCAGTGAAGTTGGGAGATGAAGTAGGACATTGTAAGGAAAGTGCAAGGATAGGTGATGAGATAGAATAGAGTACAACAAATCTGAGCAAGACAAGTGTGGATATCACTGTGAGACTTAGGGTATCTGATTGGTCCAGCAGAATCTGATGCATGGCATTCAATATATGTTAATTTGTATAATTAATTAAATTAATAATGGACTTTAAAATCCTGAAAGGTAAGCATTATTTCAAGATGGTGTATTTGTTGGGGAGCACTTTTAGCTGCTTGCAACACAGACATGATTATAATGGCTTAACCAAAGAGGTCTTTTCTTTTCTTTATTTTTTTATGAAACCAAGTCCAAGGGCAGTCTGACCAGGCTAGTATGGTGATTCCATGTTGCCATTAGGAACTCAGACTCCTTTAATCTTTTCATATAACCATCTCTAACCTGTGGCTTTCAGCTACATGCTTGTTGCTTTTTGCCCATGATGGTTGTTCCACCTCCTGCATTAACAAGAGTTCAGACAGGAAGAATGCAATGGGCAAACAGCCTGTGCTAGATGAGTGAGCCAGAGGTCTTTCTCAGAAGACCTGTCAGCAGCTTCCACTTGTATCACATTGGTGAGCATTGTTGTATGACCACCCTAGTTACAAGGGATGCTGGGAAATGTAGTTCTTTTTAAAATCTGGGCACATTACCACCCCAAGAAAAATTGTGTTTTAGTAAGAGAAAAAGACAGAATTCTTTGAATATCATTTAGGCCACAGTTGTGTCTCCCACAAATGGGAGAACTGAAATTCAGAAATTCAATAATGTGCCTGAGTTTGTTACACAGCCGTTAAGTGATAAAGCTCGTATTGGTACCAGGGTCTGTCCAGTCCCAATCCCTATTCCTTTTGCTGCACAGTCCAGAAAAGCAAGTGCTCTTTTCATGATAGGATCTTTGAGTTGGATCTCATGACAGGATATGAAGATGAGATTAAAATGTAGATGTATGGACTTCAGGGAGCAAGTAGAAGGAATTATATGGCACATTTGGGGATACTAGTAACTCATTTTTGTGAGAACATTAGGATTCAATGAAGAAGCTGGAGAACGATAAGAAAGGCTAAGTGGTAGAAATTCTAGAAGGCCGGGCTAAGAATTTTACATTTTGCTTAGCATGTGTTAGGTTAAAATCTTATTAAAATGATCTATTAAAGGAGCCCATTGAATCAAAAAAATTTCCGAAAATCTGGGTGAAAAATTGAGCTTCACAGATTTCTGAAGATAGTTATGATGTCCAAATGGAGGTGATAGAATAATTTATTGATTACGGTAATAAAATTGTGTAACAAGTTTCTGGTCATGACTATTGCATCTATAATTGCTTTTCAAAACACTTGGATTTTTTACATTTATATGCTACAAGGACACTCTAAAGTCTTAAAGATGGGTATTCATTCATTCAACGGGACAGACATGTTTCCTGCCCTTTTGGAACTTAGATTCCAGAAGAGAGAACTAGACAATAAATAATAAACATAATAAATGGGTATATATAAACATAGTAAATAAGTATATTATAGTACTTATACTATAATATAAGCATATTATATGTACTTATATTAATTATTATATGTATATTATGTACTTTTATATGTTAGGTTGATAAGTGATATGGAACAAAAGTGGAACAGACAAAGAGGGAAATAGGGGCTCAGTGTGGAGAGAGTTGTAATTCTAAATAAAGAACCAGAGCAGGCCTCATTGAGAAGGTACATGTAAGCAAATCCTGGAAGGGAATAAGAGAGTCATGCAGATAGCATGCAGAGTAGTGCAAGAAGAGGGAACTGCAAGATTGGGAATTGCCCAGTATGCCTGAAGGTCAGCGGGAAGGCTAATGTGGCTGGAGTGGAGTGAGCAAGTGAGAGTACCAGGAAATGAAGTCAGAGAGGTAACAGGGAATCAGATCATGTAGGATCTTATAAACCATTATAATGACTTTGGCTTTTACTCTGTGGAAATGGGAAGCCATTGCTGAGTTTTGAGCAAAGAAATGACATAATATGACTTTCCCTTTAAAAGGATCACTTTGGCCGTTGTGTTGAGAATAAACTTTACAATTTATCTGTCTCCCCTTACTAGGTTATAAACCACAGGGGCAGGGGTCTTTGTCTCTTTTGGTACATTGTTGTATCTCAGGGTAGACGCTTGGAAAATATTTTTGAATGAATGACCATTTAAATGGCCATTGAAGATTTTAGAGTGTCCTCATAGAAAATAAATGGGAAACAACTTAACAAGAGATGGGAAAGTTGTTGAGGGGAGAGAATTGCTGAAGAAATGTCTTTGAGTAGGAGAAAGGGGATGAGATCTAATGCCCAACTGAAGGGTTTGACTTTAGAGGGAGCATACGTACTTCATCTATAGATAGATGACAGGGCATACTACATGGGTAAAGATACTGCTGGGGGGGACAAGTGAGAGTTTGTGGAAAACTGATTGCTTCAGTGTTCTCAGGGAGACAAGCAAGGCCCTTAGGGAAGTGTTTAAGATGGGTTTGTTGGGGAACTGTGTTGGGGAGTTGAGGAAAAAAGCTAATAGAGTAATTAGATGAGGAAAGTATAATATTATTAATGGGCCTACTTGATTAAGAGTTCATTTGAGGTTCAGGTTCATAAATTGAAAATCAGACTAGTCGGCACATTTGTGTGTTTTTCTCCAATCATTATCAACAGTGACTGAGTATTTATTGAGAATGAGACACTGTGTTACCTGCTGGCTGTAGGAAACATTAACAAAACCTAATCCTAGCCCTACTCACAGTGTAGGGGCAGACAATTACACTATCAACCAGTTGTGATATAGTGTGAAAAGTACTATCAATTCAAACACAGGAAAAAACATCTTAAATCAAAGAAGTTATTCCAGGCCAGTGAACAATTCAGGTTGTGGAGGAAATAGCAGATTAGTCTAAGAAGGCAGACAGCTGTGAAAGAGCCACTTCCAAAGACTCGTCTCATGGCGTCCACTCAAAAACTATTATGTAAAAACTTTGCCTGATCCCAATCAGATCCCCTGCTTTAAAACTCATCTTAAACCAGATTCCCAAATCTCATAAATACTGTCTCCCTCACTTTCCCTGTGAGACACTGCTAAAACTCTCAAGATGCTATTCTCCTTTACTGCAGTAAGCAAAAAACTCAGTTCTGCTTTATCAACAGGTTATTTTGGAGATATTTTAAAGGAGCCAGCATTTGACAAGCTGGGAGGTCCCATCAAAATCTGGTCACCCTGGAAACAGCGTGCTTTTCTGAGGCCCTTTGAGCCTCCTGCACAGGGTCTTTCCAATGATGATGGCGAGGTAAGTTCCTACTGGGTTTGAGCTCTCATTTCTTATTTTTTCAACAAACACTCCAAACTGGTAAGTTTAGTTTATTTAGTTTGAGAGTAGTATTTAGGAATAAGAAACTCTTTTTAAAAGTCCAGTGATTGATCAGGTTTGAAAAACTTTTATTTTTGGTAGAAATCTGCATTATGACTGACAACCCTACTGTTTGTCTGTTTGTCCTTGTCATTTCTTCATTGTGCATTGATAAAAGAAAGTTCATAGGGATGAGGATGGGCTTGTATGTTCAGAAGGTTTCTCTTCAGACTGGCATCCTTTAGGAAACACTGTCTCAGATCATTTATGAAAATCTTATCAGAACTTTACTCACTCTGGTTTTATTTTGTCCATAAAAGTCTAGTTCTCTTTGGTAAGGAGTTCCCCAAGATAGAAAGTGCACGATATTTGACTGACTGCCACGAGACTCCTAGGTTTATCTCTAGTTCTGTGCCCACTCTGGGATGGACTCCTGCCTCTTATATGTATTTATACTAACATGAAAATGTAGCTTCTTAACTTTCTATGTGATATGAGGATTATTTGGAATATAATGATTGCTTTGGAGAACTTTTGATATGAACAAAATTGTTCCTTTTGGTTGGCTCTTTGAAGCAAAAAGGAAGCAAATATCAAAAACGTACAATTGTCTACATTTTAAGGCAAGAGGAAACTTCCAAAATATAGTCAAAGAACTATGAAATTGCTTCCTTAAATGGTTCCTGGGCAAAGGCAAGAGAAAAATGTGAACATATTAAAACTATCTCTTTTAGATTCCTTCAAATCACAATTTGAATATAATATCCTTTATTCTTCTTTTCCACTTCCTTATCCTATGTTCCTCTATTTCCCTCTGTCCCATCTATCCTTCTGACTTTTTCTCCTTCCCTTGAAAACACCTCCTAAGGAGATGGTCTTGTTAGTCTAAAAGAGAAAGATCACTTTGTTTAATATGAGACACCCCTCTCATTTCCATACTTCAACTGTTAATAATTACTGGTCTTTGAATCATACAAATCAGATTGTCAAGGGCCTGAGTTAATGTTTAAACCTGCTGTAATGACTCTCTCTTTTTCTCTCCCCCATCTTTCCTCCCCTCCCTCTCTCATGTGCTTGTATGTCAAAATAGGTTTTCCTGCATCTATACTTTCCCCTCTCTTTAATTAAGGAAAGATAATTAGTCTTTTACAGTGATAATTTTGTATTTGACTAAAGCTAGCTCCCTCTCATTTTTTCTATTACTCTTCTCCTTTTTCCTCCCTAGGAGATCTTTAAAGATTAATTGATGAAAATAATTATTCTGTCATTATGTGCTAAATCTAGGAATATCTAATTAAGAATTTCTGAAATAGAAAGCAAAATCATTAAATTGTTTTGTGTTTCTTTTTCTTTAAAATTGCTTTTAAGAGATATTTCTGGTTAAAACTACAGGAAAAGAAGAAAAGGCCTTGATTCTAAGGATAAGGGCATTGAAACAGAATATAAAGAATTTTTATAATTTCATTTATGAATACAAAGCTTATATATTATATATAAAATGTGCATAAAATATTCCTGATAAATAGATGAATCATTGGACAAATTAGAATGAGTTTATCATTTTGGTTTAAAGGGTTGAAACCAATTATCTACTTCCTAACTTTAATATATGAAGTTAATGCCAACATGATATTCTACTTTATACAAGATTATAGAATGTCTCGTAATTTAAAATTCCTATATTCCTTGCATTGGTTTTATGGGACAAACAATTTATTATTATTTCTACAAATTCTTAAAGATTACAAAAATTTAGAATCATGATTAACTAGATAAAATTGTAATGATGGGTATCTTAAAAAAGTTTATAATCTTATGATATTTCTGTAATATCAAAATTCTTAAGTTTATATTTAACTAAAATTGTAATTTCTAGATTTTTAGCTAACTTAAATACCTTAGGCAATTGTTAAACTAAGTTTATTGATATGTAATCTTTGAATACTTCGACAAAATCTAAAGAAAAAAAATGAGAGGCACAACATTTGCCACTAAACAGTTGTATTTTACTGTTATTCTTTTTTTTTTTTTAAAGATTTTATTTTTTTCCTTTTTCTCCCCAAAGTCCCCCGGTACATGGTTGTATATTCTTCGTTGTGGGTCCTTCTAGTTGTGGCATGTGGGACGCTGCCTCAGCATGGTTTGATGAGCAGTGCCATGTCCGTGCCCAGGATTTGAACCAACGAAACACTGGGCCACCTGCAGCAGAGCACGTGAACTTAACCACTCGGCCACGGGGCCAGCCCCCACTGTTATTCTTATACACTTAAAAATAGATATATTGGGGCCGGCCGCTTGTCATACTGATTAAGTTGGGCACACTCTGCTTTGGTGGCCCAGGTTCAAGGGTTTAGATCCTGGGCATGGACCTACACCACTCATCAGCCATGCTGTGGTGGTGACCCCATATAATGTGGAGGAAGATTGGCACAGATGTTAGCTCAGGGCTAATCTTCCTCAAGCAAAGTAAGAGGAGGATTGGCAACAGATGTTAGCTCAGAGTGAATCTTCCTCAGCAAAAAAAAAAAAGAAAGAAAGAAAAAAAAAGATATAGATTTAGAGAATGTGAAAATGCCTTTGGATTTTGTTATACAAATAACCTCCTTAAAATTTATAAAGATAATATGAAAGGCATGCCCATTAGAAAAATAGTTAAACAGTAACTGGTTTTCTGTCTTCTAGTTTTTTCCAGGAGAAAAAGAAGTTGGTCACCTAGGTTAAGTGGAGCAATTAAGACCATATTTAGTATAATTACAGAGAGATGTGAATATGTATGCAATATTATTGCTCTGGTTTGTTTCTTAAAGAATTGTTGCACTTAAGATGGTAAATTCATGGAATGCTGAAGTGGCTTCCTAAAAGAGCTGCAGCATGAAAGGATGGGTGCCATCCTTGAACGTGTAGTATATGCGTCAAATCAGATACCTCTGCATGGTGCTGTGTTCCCAACAGCAAGACTACATGGGGCAGAATCAAGGGGCAGAAGCAGGAGTGGCCCCATTTACCATCATTCCCAATGACACACTGGGAGATTTTATGCCTCTCATCCCTTTAACTCTGGGCTCTGTAGGGTTGGAGGTCCTGGTGCCCAAAGGGGGCGTAGTCTTGCCACGGGGAACACAAAGTTTTTATTGAACTTTAGGATATGGCTGCTGGCAGTGCACTCTGAAGTCCTTGTATCCAGACATCAGCATTCTGGCAGGGGTGCTCGACCCTGCTCAGCAGGAAGAGGACATGTGGAACCCAGATGAGCCATTTGGGAACTTTTTGGTCCTCCCGTCTCATTGTAGCTGTGGATGGACGCATGCAGCAGTCGTCAGCCTGAGAACAGTATGATGGCTCGGACCCCTCAGGAGTTAAGATTTGAGTCACCCCACCAGTAAGTCCCCAAGTCTTACTTTAGAATGAGGGAAATCAGAATAGCTAGTGAAAGAGGGAGAGCATGAGTACCAGTTGTAACCCCAAAGATCAACTGCAGTGTCAGAGGTCCCTTCTGAGTTTCCCCTCGGGAACACAGGCCCGCAGGAACCATGGTAGACCTGCACCCTGGACCTGTGAGAAATCTGTTCAGCGCAAGGGGCGAGCTGTAGCAGCTATGAAAATAAGCCACTCAGAGCTGTTTCTGCAGAGAATTGACAGATGGCCCCAGTTGCTATGCTCTGACTCTACTGTAGTGCTTCTGCAGAAGCCGTGCTGCTCCCGGCTGCTCCCAGCCGATGACTGAGCGTGGCGAAGGTCCGAAGGCAGGCCCATTTCTCTGAGAAGGAGGACTCTTGATGGGTAACTTTGATTCGAGGTTCCCCCATCAGCCTTGCAGACTTTACTCAATACCAATCAGGTCCTTGCACTGAAAAACTCAAGCTAGACTCCAGAAACCTCAAAAGTATCTCACCTTTGCCCTTACCCCTCAGAGATACTGCTAAGATCTGTCAAGGTAATATTCTTCCTACCACAGTAAGCAGAAAACTTAGTTTTGCTTTATCAACAGGTTATTTTGGTTGGTGGTATTTTCAAGGAGTTGGCATTCAACAGATGAAAAGTGGCCATCATTCAAAAAAGCAGGGGTAAGAGCTTCATAGGTAGAAGGAACAGTAAATGCAAAGGCCTAGAGGTGGAAAAAAGTGTTAAAGGGCAGAAAGAAGGCCAATGTGGCATGAGCTTAGAGAGAGAGCAATAGAGAAGATGGTATGAGATGAGGTCAGGGAAGTATAGAAAGCCCTGGAGTCCATGGTAATCATAGGGTCAACTTCATTCTGAGTACAAAGAAAACAATTAGAGGGTTTTGAGTGGAGAAGTGACATACCTTGGTTTCTATGTTGTAGGAGCATGAGTTGTGGAGGGACATGAATAGAAATGGGGAGAGCAGTTAGGAGGTTATTATTGCAGTTACGCAGGTGAGACCTTAGGTGATTTGGAACTAGATTGATAGTGATACAGGAGGCAAAGAGAAATGCACAAATTCAGGATCTGTTTTGGAGACAGAATCATCAGAACTTGCAGATTGATGGGCGGTGGGGGGTGGAGATGGTGTGTGAAGGAAGAGGAGGAATGAAGAATGACTCCAAGGTTTTAGTCTCGAGCTGCTGTATGACTGGTAATGAATTTTACCACTTTGAGGAAAACTGATGGGGACGAATATTTTCAGAAGAGAAAAGCAAAACCTCTCTTTTAGACCTGGCGAATTTGACTTCCAAATAGAAAGATTAAGTAGGCACTTATAAAGTCTAGAGATCAGGACTGGAGGTAAACATTTTTTGTGATTTATCAACATGTGGATGGTATTTAAACTAGAGAACAGAGAGATCACCTCAAAAGAAAATGTAGATAAAGAAGAGAAGAATCCCCAGGATCTAGCCCTGGGGCCCTCCAACATTTAGGTTACCTAGAGCAGGAAAGATGGCTAAGAAGGTAAAAGGAACACCGAGAATGCTTCAAACTGGTCAGTTGAGTCCACTTTGGAACCTGTGAGGAAATGTAGGGGCAGGAAGTACCTCAATATTAGTTGCTAATTGAAACAATCTCTTCAGTTCCTTAGCCAACAAATACGTATTGAGTATTGTAAACAGGGGTGTCCCAGAAACATTACAATATAAGGTAACCAGTCTAACTGCTGCTTAACATACCATACTTACATACAACGCTCCCTTGCAGCGAGGGGCATCAGATTTCTAGGCTTGATTACAAAAGTATTTTGGAAAAGTCTGTCTTTCTGCTTTCTTGTCTTTTTTTTTAACCAACTGTCTTAAACTATCAATTTTTTGTTGTCTTTTAATACATTATTCAATTTTAGATTTAATAAACTATTAAACTTCTTCACTTATGTTGCTTTTACCTAAAATATGCTTAGATGGAATTATGAATTCTGGCTTTAAAAACATGATTAGAATTATGTAAATATGTTAACTCTCTTAAGGTCTTTCCTCTTTTTTTAGGTTTGGTTAACATTTGAAAATACACTGTAGTGTTTTGATATCAGAATTACATTCATCAAAAATATGGATGTATTTAGACTTTCAGGAAGAATTTAACCAAAGGATATAGGCAGAAATAAAACAAAACAAAAACATCTAGCTTGTAGTAGCTACAAAACAACGTGTGGCTTTCAGAGTAAAAGACTTCTATATCAGTTGCATAATAGTAATTCTTTATTCATGAGGTCTTTTTATTTCCATGGAAACATTGAGGTCGTTTTAATTTTTAATTACACTAGAGTTTACAGTTCCATAGATTTTAACTCTGTTGTAGTAAGCACAGAAGCTAGGGCTTTACCCATTTCCACTTTAAAAAGTACAAAAGAAGAAAAGATGGTTTAAAATGACCATGAGTTTCATTCAGTTTCAAGCTTTAGCTGTATATTGATTATTTCTAATTTTTCCTAAACCTGCCCTGCAATTTTATATCCAATTACTTCTTCTGTTTTTGTCTATACCCTTCGGCTAAAAGTATTTTCCCAGGAAGTAAACTAAAATAGGAAACTCAGCGGGGATGTTGGTGGGATAAGTAGCACATGAGGTGTGAGACTGCTGTCAAGTGACAGAAGGAGCAGAGAACTACTTCTGCCACCTGCTCAGCTTGGTAATCTTGGGTGCATGCCTTCCTTTCTCTGGCCCTCAACTTCTTCACCTGCAACTTGAGAGAGTGAGGATGAGTGACAGAATTCAATGGTTCTCTGAAATATGTTGGCTCTATGGAACCCATGACTTTGTGGAAACTATCCACATGGCCCCGATGTTGATGACAGTTCTCATGACGTGGTGTCTGTCACAGGGACTGGATGCAGGTCAGGAACAGGAAGCTATGGAATGAGACAAATTATTCACTAAATGGGTCTAATACAGATTTTATAGCTAGAAAATCTTTTATTTCTTTTCCCTTTCTGTATCATTAAATTTCCAGATATAGAAGTTTTACAGGTTCTGTTCCTATTCGATTATGGTCATTTTCAGAATGCAAAGGGCACAGGGAAAGGAACTGACATTTACTGAATATCTACTGTATATTATGCATTGTATTTTCACATAATTATCTTTCAATCTTTATAGCAGTCCTATAAGCAGCAATTACTATTCTCATTTTATAAATGAGAATTTGAGACTCAAACGAGGATAATTCTGCCAAGTGCTAGTCAACATTTGAAGATACAGTTTAAAATATCACTTTGAAGTTTTACTGTGAACTGAGATTTAGCTTCTTTCCTATTTATATTTGCCAGTTGTCTTTATCAGTATTTTCCTACCTATTGGTTGAGATCCCTGAAGGGTTGTAGATTACTTGCAGAGGGATATAATAATCTAATACTGTCTCTAAACAAATAAATGACTTGCATGTATGCATATGATTATTTGTTCAACTGCATTAATAAAAATATGCATTAATTTGAAAGTATTACTCATTTCATGGCATTTGCTTTATTTTATTCAAAAAGTGTCTAAGTCAGTGGATCATAACATTTTTAGACCTAGAACAGACCTTGGAAATCTGATCCAGTGCTTTTTTTTTTTTTTTTTGGTGACGAAGATTGTCACTGAGCTAACATCTCTGCCAGTCTTCCTCTATTTTGTATGTGGGATAATACAAAATACATACAAGCCACATCATGGCTTCATGAGCAGTGTGTAGGTCCCCACCTGGGATCCAAACTCATGAACCCTGGGCCACTGAAGCAGAGCACATGAACTTAACCACTCCGCCATAGGGCCAGCCCCCACTGCTTTTTTGTTAAACAGATGAGCGAATTTGGCTCAGAGAGGATAAATACTTTTCCCAGAATTCTACAGTTAGTGTCAGATTTAGAGCTATAACCTTAAAAGGTTCAGTGCTTTATCCATGAATTAAAATATTTTTATTGTATTGAGTTAGGTTTCTATCAGGAAACCAAAAATTAAACAGACAACTGATTGAAACATTGCTTTAAAATGCCACTGAGTAAATTTAATTTAAAAAATAATAAAAATTATTAAAATAATAATCTCCCATTAAGGAACTTTGAAAAAGATAGACAAATAATTGTATTTAAAACTGAGTAATTTGTCTTCTGTAAACATAATTTGAATCATATGCAGTTATAAATCCTGCTTTTTTTAAACTGAGCACTATGACATATTTTTCTTTTGCCTTAAAAGTTCTTCAAAATTGTTGGTTTTTTTTAATGGATATGTAATATTGCATATTATAGGATTTTCACATCTATTTATCCATTCCCTATATTCTTGGACATTTTGATATTTCATTTTTAGTTTGGTTTTTTTGGTGGGGAAGATTGGCCCTGAGCTAACATCTGTGACAGTCCTCCTTTATTTTGTATGTGGGACACCGCCACAGCATGGCTTGATGAGCAGTGTGTAGGTCCGTGCCCAGGATCCAAACCTGTGAACCCTGGGCCACTGAAGTGGAGTGTGTGAATTTAACTACTACGCCACCAGGCTGGCCCCTAGATATTTCCAATTTTTAATGCCAAATATTTTTTTGTATAAAAATCATTTTTTGCATCTCTGACTACTATGTTTCTTGGTTTAGATTCTAGAACGTGAAATTACTATTTAAAGAGCATAAGCACTTTCACACTCAATAATATTATCAGTTTTTTTCTATAAATTATGTACTCTATCTAAAAGTAATTTTTGTTTGTGCATCTGATTACACCCTCATGAAAATTAAATATGATAATTTAAAGACTTCTAACTTCTAAAAAGAAATATCTCTCTTTTGTTAAAATTAACATTTTTTATTAGTGAGGTATTTTTCATATATTACTTTTTTTCTTATGTGAAACATCAATTTTTTCACTTAGCCCATTTTTATATTGTAATATATTTTAAAGAAAATCAATTTCTGTGGGCCTTTTTTTTAGCATTTCTATGGGATCGTTTGTCTTTTTTTTATTACTTGAATAACACAAATATTCTAGTTGTAAAAGATTCAAACGATATAGAAATATACATAGCACATGACTCCCTCCCTTACAGATCACCACTGTCAACAGCATTTTAGAGTACATTATTCCTGTTATCATTCTATTAATATGCACATATCTTCATATTCTTTATATAAATATACATGGAATATATATATAAAAATGTAAATGGATCATAGAATACCGGTTATTCAGCATCTTTCTTCACTTAATAGTGTGCATTTGGGAGCTTACTTTTTTCTCCCCACAGTGTAAAAAGCTTTCCCCCACACCCTATTGAACATTACAAAAAAATTTGATCAAGACGTGAAAGATGTTTTTCAGACAATAAAAATCACCTGAAACCAGTTAAGAAATAAACACTATTAATATTTTGGCAACCATTCTTTCATGCATCTCAATGTATTTTATGTAATTGATGTTTATTCTGACACCAACTGGTATACCGCAGTTCAGTTCCAGCACTAACCACCCAGAGTTAGCATAGACCACACAAATGAAAGGGCGTGGTCCCTAACAAGACTGTCCCCACTTCAGACACCAGTCAAAAGTAGGGTCCCCTAGCTACCTGCACTTCCAGCTGGCTACAATCCCATGACCTCTTCAGATTGGATAAGTTGCTGGCACGACTCAGAACTCAAGAAAGCACTAAAGCACTATAATTACAATTACAGTCTTATTAGAAAGGATACAAACCAGGAACAGCCAAATAAGAGACTTATAAGGCAAGGTCTGGGAGGGTCCTGAATGTAGAGGTTCTGTGCCTCCTCCCCGTGGAATCAAGGCACTTCACCCTCGTATCACATCAATGTGTTCACCCTCCAGGAAGCACCACTGAGTTTCATGTCCAGAGTTTTTATTGGGGTTTCGTTACATAGACATGATTGAATAAATCATTGGCCTGTGATTGAACTCGTTCTCCAGACCTCTCCTTTCCCAAAGTCAGGAGATGGGGCTGATATCATGTGGCTCAAAGCCTCAACCTTGTAATCACATGATTGGTCTTTCTGGCGTGATCAGCCCTGATCCTGAAGCTATCTAAGGGCCCACAATGAGTCACCTCATTTGCATAAACCCAGAAGTGATCCAAGGGGCTCGTGAATAACAAAGACACTCCTTTTACTCGTGAAATTCTAGGAATTTAGATTCACTCCCAGGAACCAGAGACAAAGGTGAGTCAAATTATTATACAGTACTGTCATATATAGTTTGTTTGTGTTTTTATTGTGGATGCCTGTTTTTGGCTTGGATTTCTTACCATGTCAATATACTAGGTCTATCTCATTTTTTTCTCAAGGCTTTCTTGAGAAACAACATGTTTTATGTGTTAAATATACTAACTCTCTGTCTATAAATAGCTCTTTTTCCGTTTCTAGTTTGCCTCTTAATTTGATAACATCTATGCTAGACAGTCCTTCTCCAACTAGACAGCAGATAAATATTTATCTAAAATTTCTTATAGCTTTCTTCAGTCTTTCTTTTTAAATATTGAAATTATTTTGGTGCAGACAATAAGTAAAGTTTAAATGGAGTCTTTTCTCAAGTAAACAATTCTCCCAACATAATGAAATGAATTATTTTTTAAATTCACCCTTGCAGGAATGGGTGGATTGCAAGAAGTAGGGGGTTTGGAGTGTTATGAGGAAGGTACTGTTATTCCCACTTTTTAGATGAAGACGCTGAGTTCAAAGAGATTAAATAATTTTCCCCAGATCACCTAGAAAGGGCAGAATTGCCTAGCTGATTCCAAAGCCTAAAAAAGCAAATATTGGAATCACATGTAAGTACCAAATGATTTAGTGGGTACCTAAGATTATAAAACAATTTGTCCTGATATAAAAATCGAAGATTAAGTGGAACATAGAAGAAAATCTAGTCATGACACTGAAAAATGGCATTAAGCAAAAATCTAGATCCCCCAAAACAAGATAAATTTCCCTTTTGTTGATCAATTTAAGTTAAATTAATACCTGTTACTGAATCATACAAAAATGACTAAACACGTTCACCGAATTTAGGGGATATGTTTATGATGGTTCAACTTGTAAGTTTTGTGGTGCACAGAAAATTCATGTCTGGAGGTCCAAAGGGGCGAATTGAAGAGAGAGCCACCTTCGAGAGCAGATCAAGTCAGAGACCCGTGTACAATAAAGGACTATTCAGAGACACATGCCATGCAGGCATTCAGACAGAGGACTGAAAGGAGTGATTTTATTTCTTTAAAGAAATTTTTTTAATGCTTTTTTGGTCGGGAAGTTTTGCCCTGAGCTAACATCTGTTGCCAATCTTCCTCTTTTTCTTTTTTTTTTCTCCTCCCCAAAGCCCCAGGACATAGTTGTGTATCCTAGTTGTAAGTCACTCTAGCTCTTCTATGTGGATGCTGCCATAGTGTGACTTGATGAGTAGTGTGTAGGTCTCCTACAGTCAAGCATGTGAACTTAACCACTCAGCCACGGGGCCGGCCCCAAAAGGAGTGATTTTAAATAGGAGTCCCAATTGAAGGTCACAAGAGATATTGATTAGTGATCAAGGGGCTTCACTTGGGCAGCTCCATGAGTTGGACTTTAGAATGAGCAGCAGAGATTCATTTGTGTAATGATGGGTAATGAATTAGGAGAAAGCCATCTAATTGCTAAAAACATTTGAGTGGAAAAGTACCCTTCTTTTTTTTCTCTTCTCAACTCTAAGTATTAGGGCACTTTGAGAAACATTTGTACTTAAAATACTAGAATATTAAACTAAATAAAAAGGAGCTAAATAATTCAGGTCACAACAGATGAACCAAGTAGTTAAAATTTCATAGATATTAAGCAGATGAATGAGACAGGATTTTGTGAAATATTACATCAGCATTCACTGCATTTACATATAAAAATTGGCTACTATTAATACTGTCTGCATTATAAAAATTGACTTTATAGACTCTGATTTTCTGTGTTTTGTTTTTAAACAGTCAAGGTACGTTTTTTTCTTTTTAAAGATTGGCACCTGAGCTAACATCTGTTGCCAATCTTCTTTTTTCTTCTTCTTCTCCCGAAAGACCCCCAGAGTATAGTTGTATATTCTAGTTGTAGGTCCTTCAGGCTTTGCTGTGTGAGATGCTGCCCAACATGGCCTGGTGAGCAGTGCTAGATCCATACCCAGGATCTGAACCGGCAAAACCCTGGCCCACCAAAGGGGAGCACGCGAACTTAACCCCTTGGCCACAGAGCTGGCCCTAGACTCTGATTTTCTACGTTAATCTCCCCTTTAGATACTATTGTATTCAATAAATGTCTTGTAGTAGTAGTAATAATACCTTGCAATCTGGTGTACAGTTTGTGGAAAAACCTGTTGTATATACAATATTTCATTTGATCTTTATAGTTCTCTCAGGAGAGAGGTAGGATTTGTTATTCACTTTATTTCTAAGCATTTTCATATGTTGCTTAACTTTCCTTCTCAGAATATCTGTGATAGAGCCAAATGTAAA